TTTAAAGATTTTCTTACGTATCTCATTAATGCAAAATCAGTGAGTACTTAAATTTGGTCACTGAGATCACCTATAATAACTCTTGCTCATTATCACACAGCTGATAAATAAGATCCTATGCATCAGAGCTATTATCTATCAAACACAGCAGCCTTGGGACTCCTGCAAAGGCCACCATACCTCTTGGAGATTTCCATCTTCATCATGTACAGACATGGTGACTTCTACGTTCTTGGGAGTCTTCTTCTTCCCTTTGTCAAACTCGCCTTGTACAAGGGTGACATAGATATCATTTCGAACATCACCTAAAATCCATAGTGCTTAATCAGTTGTTTTTCTCATACAGACAATTGTACAGGTTAGTGTTTAATATCCATGGGTACCACATTATCCTTCTCTTCATCTCAAATGATACAAGGTCTTTTAAAATGTACCATTCTCCTTTTTATAAATCTCTGCCTCCACTCTGAATGGATTAAACAGAGCAGGGTCAAACCCATATACAACAAAAATGTCTGACGGAACAGAAACTTTCTTCCAAAACATACACAAAATATCGCTTTTCAATGTAAGAAAGGAAGCTTACATTTTCACTTCTTTGACATAAAGATTGGCTGGAAAGTTCACGAAAACAAAACCAGATTTTCAGATAGCTTTAAAATCAACCTGCTCATAGCAGAAATTCCAGAATTTAGTCTGGCTCTTTCACTTCATGGAAACATGGAGCCATACGGGACCTACCAGGAAGGATTATCTCAGGGAATCCCATTTTGCGAGCCACAGCAGTTGATCTGTCCACAAGGTGGGAAAAGTCCTTTTGAACCTGCACTAGATCGCCAGGAAGGAGCTTCAGGGAAACCCAAAGACCTAGGAAAAGGAGAGAAATGTTTGTACCAAGTACAAAACCATGACATTTAAGCCTTTGCTTAATAAAAACCTGGTTTTTTCACGTGATCTCCTTGCAAAAATGCCTTAAATATCCCAAGCTAGTTCTCAGTTGGCCCAGTTCTGTGTCTTGCTAATGCTGAATAACAGCTTATTAGACAAGTAGATCTCTGAAGTAAAATACAAACCTTCTGAGATTAATCCGCTAGCGTATTTGAGTAAAATCCAGACATACAAGCAAAGGCAGAAGAATCCTGCATAACGCAGCTTAAACCAAAAGCCATTTAGAACACACAGTCAGCCACGCTCACTTAAAGACATTTTATGTCCATATAGACAGGTTTATCTTCAAATATTACTTCACTAGCAAACATGTTTTCAGCTAGAGAAGTTCACTTCACACAAGTAAGAACAGCTTCTGGTTTTCTCTTTCTTTTAGCTCCCGATGTGCTGGGATGACAACCATTACAAAGAGCCTACTTTTGGCTCAGGAAGGCAGCAAACTCCAGCAAGCCTTGATCTCTGGACTTTCACAAGCCATTTATTTTCCTCTGCAAGCAAGGGGAACCCTTCCCCACACCAGCTTTTCCCATGAGCTTCTTGCCTGACCGCTGTACCTTGCCCTTTATGATTCACTTCCTTCGCAGCGATGACTTTGTTGAAGACAGAAGTGAGGGGCTCATTTTCTCCGATCACGTGGGAAGCAATCAGCGGGGACATGATGAGCTGTCTCTGCCTGATGTACGTTTCCATCGCAATCCTGGGAACAACAACAACAGAGATCGGGAAGCAGACAAACATCAAATGTGCTCCGTCTTCAGGTGAGCCTCAGAGCTGTCCCCAGGAGATACTACAGATTAACTAGTGATAAGTTAACAGAACCACTGGCTGCTGTGAGATTACACAAGGGATGAACCTATTCCTGCTCACAAACTCATCTGTTGAGCTTTGGAGCTTGAACCCGACTTCACTCCTGTCCCCACACCATCAATAATGAACCAAAGCGTACATCGAAATGATGTCCACACACAGGCTCCCCATTCTCGTAGAGATGTCCAGATTTGGATCTAAACCCAGTCACGTTACAAGAGAATTAAAATGGATAAGGAAAAAAAAAAGGTAGCAGGCTAACATTATTCTGCAAAGGTAAAGACATCCTTCTCTCCACCATTTCAGGCCCTGAAAGGGTTGAAGGGGGAAAACAAAACCCCACACAATCTCCCCTGAAAATATCTTGTAACAACATATGGCTACACCAAACGGATTGTTGTATTTAGGACTGTAACAACACAGCTGAGCCTACCCAAACAAGCTTCATTTTAGTTATTGTAATGTGCCGAAAGTGAGCAACCAGAGAGCAGGCAGAACACACAAGCCTAACCAGCAATACAGAAGTGCAAACCCCATTGGGGCTTGGATTTCTTTCCCAGAAGGAGGAATAAATCCCTTTCCTGCCATCCTCTAACTCACCCTTACAAGACAAGAGGCAGACAATACTCAGGGCACCACAACAGTGACAAGGAGGAGTTGTGTTCTCCATGCTCAGGTGTTTCTGAACATCTCCCCTCTCAACCCCATAACAGTTTTGAAGGTCACATCCCCCAAGACCCCACAACATTATTTTGCACTGTGCTTGTCTTTCTTACCTAAGATGCTACGAGCACCTAGCAATTTCAGCTGCATTGCCGAAAAGCAACGTAGCCTGTCATACAGACATGTAAATCAAGGGGAACAAAGGCTTCAGAGGACTGACAAAAACTCTTTTCCTTCAAAAAGCTGACTACTGCCATAAGTTAATCTATTTGTAGAGACCTTGGTACACTGCCAGGCTCCCATCCAAATTTGTCCTTCTCCAAAGGACAACTGCTTTAAACAAGCCAGACATGGGATGAACTCTGAAGCCCAGTACTTACTGCTGAAATGGAATAAAGTGCTGCTTTTCCTCATCGTCCACCTTTCCGTGTATGATATCAGTTATGTCCATCACTGCAACAACACAAGTTCATCACATACTTTTGCCAAGTTGCTAAAGAATACAGAGAGCTCTCCCCTGTCAGAATGGAAACAACAGTGGCTTATTTTGGGCCAACGCCACTCACGACAGCTACAGAGAGCACCAATCATCCTAGTTTTTTTAAAAAGCACCTTTTTATGGATGCATAAATCAGCCTATGGCAGTGAATGTGAACATAAAAACCATTTTATGGCATTTCAAGGGAAAGAAATTACACTTGTATTTCAAAAGCTGATAATTTTGAAACTGTTTTGCACCACAAATTTCAAGCAAGGGATCACAGGAATGGAACAGGAATTGGAGGTCTCATTCACTAAGGCTCCTTTAAAAACTCCAGCTTTAGCCCATTAGTCACAAGGAGCAAATCCCTCTTTTCCTCCAGGGATTCATTTCCATACCTGCCACACCAAAAGGCCTCCGGAGTCCACAGGTGTGTTTCTTCCCATCTTTCAGCTCCATGTGTCCCACCCTCACGATCTGACACACCAAGCTGATCTTCGGTCTGATCAGGTCAGAGCTGCTTAAATCCTACAAATTTTTTAAAATAGAGTTGTATAAAATCTGCTTCATAAATGGAAGAGCAGAAGAAGGAGAGAGTGAGATTGTTTTGTTAGATTGTACACACGTATAAAAGGAGATCTATTACTTTTTAGAAGTAAAACTTGTTCCCTTTGAGCCCTAAGGGGGGGAAAAACCCTCAAAACTACAAAAACACTTGTGATTTCCACACAGCAATTTCTAAACATCCCATTACTCTTTGATAACACAACCCAGCAACAGTACTGAAATTAGAATAAATGGACCAGGCTGCCCAGAGAGGTTGTGGAGTCTCCTTCTCTGCAGACATTCAAAACCCGCCTGGACGCCTTCCTGTGTAATCTCATCTGGGTGTTCCTGCTCCGGCAGGGGGATTGGACTGGATGAGCTTTGGAGGTCCCTTCCAGTCCCTAACGGTCTGGGATTCTGTGATGTTAATTGCCAAAGTACTACACTGTGATGAGGAGGCAGTCAGTTTGTGCCACCTTTGCTACATGGCAGAAGTTACTCCATCCACGTGCAGTTCTTCCATTAACTCCTTGCTGCAAATAAACTCCAACACGGAAAAGAAGCAAAGAACTGAAATTCAAAGCAACAAAGTGAAAACCAAACTACTATGATCTTGAGCCTGAATCTTTGGTACATTTAGGCTTCAACAGAGAAATGCATAATACACCTTTACTACTGCTTTAGACTGACATTTTAAAAAGTGCTCTTCATCAGCATTCCTCTGAGGCTGCCTACAGCATCCTATGTGTCCAGGAAAACACCCCAAAATGCCACATGTGTCCCCTCTCTGCTGCACGGGGAGAGGGAAAGAACCCAAACCTCAGATGTCTGCCCCATGGGGAAGAATTTCCAGAATGCAAACACAGTAACTTACAGTAAAGACTGCCTGAAGGTTATTTAGTTTCTCAATTTCTTTAGGCATCCCATTACTGCCCCAACGAACCAGGTAATTTTCACTGCAAATAAAGGAAGAAGAAAAGAATTAAATAAATCAACAACCTGACAATTCCCATTACCTGGCAAAAACATTTCGATCTTTTAGGAATATCTGAAAAATTCTGCCAAAATCTTTTATCCCAAAGTGATTTTGAAGGGACTTATTTCAGTGAAGGCAGAAATTATATGAATAGGTACTTGCTATGCTTATGCACCTACAAAAAACCCTACCTGATGAATTTGGACAGGTCAGGATCATAGAGGCTCATCAACAGCTCTGCATCTTCTCCAATGTTGCAGACAAAATTCTTGAAGTTCACATACAGGCTATAGGTATGGGTTGTGTTGAATATTGGCTGCCCTCGGAGGTCCAAATTCTGCTGCAGGGACTGCAAAGAAGGAGAGTGCTCTCATTAAAAACAGACACAGATGAAATTAATTCTTCCAAAGTAGCACAATATCCTTAAGAGGAATGTAAAAGTTATTTGGAGAGGACAAAGCCAGCGACAAGGGATGTACCTTCTCTTCCTGGATTCTCTCATCAATCCTTTTGGATGCAGATTCGTGGGACTTGAAGAGAGAGATTGTGCTGGTTTCATCCGGGTCCAAGATGTTCCCATTGTCATCTCGCACCACCAGGTCCAAACCCAGGATCCTGAGCAGCGTGGACGTCACAGGGACAAAAGAAGCGACACAACATTTAAGAAGCAAAGGTGACTGGAAGAGCACAAACCACAGATCAAACCATGGACCCCATTAGGCAGCCAACGCGCACCAACTCCATTCCTTGTAATGATCACATTGCTGGTTTTCCTGTCTTGAAATACTGATCCCACATTTTCCCATTCAATGGAAAAATAATTGGTCAGGCAACTTAATTTAAGATCACATCTTCTTCACTCTTGCTTAAAGGTTTCTGGGTTTTTTTCCCAACAAGAGGTATGAATATCTCTACCAAGCTTATGGATTATGGCTGATTATTATTATTCACCATAAGGTTTCTTCTTAATTGACTTATTTGACCTGAATCAAGTCTAGCAGGCAGATACATGAGCTCTGGAGACAAACCCTGTTCTGTACAAACCAATGAAGGATGGAGTTTTGGTGCTGGCCTATAGAATTGTATTACTCCACTGCTGACAAAGCAGTTTATTTCATCAACGGCATCCAAATCCTGGCTCCAGCTAGCCAGGCACAAATTGCACTCCATGGGAAATGCCATCATGTGCCAGCACTTATGCAGAATTAAGACAGGTAACATCTCCTGCCAAGTCAAACGGACTGCTGGCATATGAAGAACCAACTGCTACGTGCCCACCTGCCAGGCCAGTCACTCTGTGACGGGGACTGAAAGCCGTAATTATCCCCTTCTGAGGAAAAAGGTAAAGCCCATAATACAGCGTCCCCCTCACCTGGTCATTTACACCATTTTGTATCAACAGCCATCTAGAGCCTTTACTGGGATTTGGGATTCTCCCCCGTGTTTTGGGGTTTACCTGTTGCCATAGTCAATCTTAGCAGTGACTTTCTTCTTGAGCTCGGCCAGCTCGTCTTTGGGAAGGGTCCCAGACAGTATCTGTGACCGCCATTCGATCAGGCTGTAAGTCAGCTGTTGGACATGGCGAAACTGCGTTGTCTTGTTATCCTACAGGAAAAGAGAGACAATTTTAAGCCTGAAAACGATGAGCTCAGTAACCTTTCTGAAATCCATTCAACTGAACTTACTATTTTACTAAAAACATCTGAGAAACTGGCACCTTATGACACTCTGAGATTAAGGCAAAGGAACAAACTCTTCAGTACTTTGCACTGCCAAGGTTTAAGTGTCTCAAGATACAGGATCTTCACCATTTCCTCAGGACATTATTTGAGAAAAACCTCACAGACAAATACAGTTCTCTGTATCAAGACTGTTAATGTTTAACTACGAACCCCAGCTGCTCCCACACAGCACAAAGAGACTCATTTCAATTATTTTCTCATTCTGGTGTCTGCAAAGAACATGAATGATATGAAACTACTCCTAATTTGCCCCCTGAGAACACAAATCTAAAAGGAATTATAAAGAGTCACCATCCTTCTGATCTGGGTGAATGTAAAGGGGCTTGACAGAGGCTGGATGAGTCTTTTAGTTCCTATTAGAGACATATTTGGCAAACAAAGAAAAAAAAGTGTGTTCTTAACTTGCATTTCAATACTTGCAAGGAGAAGGCAAGCTGTGTTAGCTTTCAGGGAAATACAGAGCAGATCTCAATGTGACAGCTAAAGCTGAGTTCTCTCTACAGCTGTTTACATTAGCTAACTCCTATTAACTAAACGAGTTAGTAACTCTCACCCATTTTTGTATTTATTTTGCAGTGGAGATATACCCACTGGTGCAATGCTTGCTGCAAGAACAGAGAAATTGAAGTAGTAAAATGAAATGCTGCCAAAGATTAAAAGTTCCCTGTACTTCCTTTTTCTCCTCAAGTATCTCCTTCCTCCTTTAGCTTTTTTTTTTCTTTTTATACATACTGCAGGGGAAAATAAAATAAACTCAAATCCACTTCAAACCACAACATTTTCCAAGGCTATTTTAAGACTTACGTTGGTTAAGCACAGGAACATGAAAGATTTTTTTGCTCTTCAGAAAACTGGATTCTGAGGCTAGGATCCTAAAGTTATTCAGAAATAAAACCAACCAACCCAGGAACCAAACTCTCTTTTCACACAGCCATAACGTCACATACAGCTTCTCATTAAATTAAGAGGGTGGAACAAATTCTTGTGGTTTCGTGGCGCACAAACAAAGCTCCTGGCCTGGTGCAATTTTTAATAGGAGAGCTTGCTCTGGATAAACGGAATGGCTCGAGCTAATTTAAAACCACTCTCTTGTCTTAATTAAAGTCTCAGAGCAGACACTATGCAGGCTGAACTCACTAGGAAGGAAGAAAGATCAAGTTTGACTCTCTTTAATGGGCCTTAATCACCTTGGAAAGAAGGGAATTCATTGCAAACTCCAGTCATGTGTCTTTGAGCAAGAATGAACCTATGGTGGTTAATAAAATAGCAACCACTGAAGAAAACTCACCACATACAGCCTGTGCCAGATAACGGCCCACTCCCTCAGGGTGGACGTGAGCTCCTGTCCGAGGGGTAATTCACTTGGAATCACTGTTTCGTGTTGTCTAGGAAAACAAGGAGAAAATAGAATGAAAAGGTGTTACACTCAAGATTAGAATTTAGGAGTAAAACCTCCTTTTTTTGATAAATGTGTAAATAGGAATTCCAGAGGGCTGGATATTCACACAATTCACTCTCGATGCCAGGATTCTTAAGCTGTTCCATTAGTTCTCCATCACACACGCACACATTAATTACCCATTTTTAATGCAAACACATTTCAAGTTTCTTTCAGCCTTGGTATTTCCAACTGATCCATTCCAGAAACACAACGCTAAATAGACAGAAATCACGTTTGAAAGAATCATCAGCTGTAACAGGAACTTGGCCACAGTTATTAAGAAGAAAAAGTACTTTCTAAGGTCTCTTCCTTTGCAACTGCTGTTTCCCTCTCACAGAATCAGCTCTAGGAATCAAACGAGGAGTCATTTCCTCAAATGTTTTCCAAGACAGGAAGGAATCCACGCTCCCGCTGGCTGCTTGGCTGCGACCAGGAGTGCTCTGACCTGCAGGAGTCCCCAGAGGAGCCGAGCGTCACTTGATTGATTTGCCTCGCTACTAACTTGTCTGCCAAAGCTTTCCTATTTTTGCAAATAGCATTGTCCTGCCTAGAATTGCTTTTGGTATCTACAATACTCTGAAACAAAGAAAGTTTGGGTTTTTTAAAATTAAAATCATTGCATTGTTCTTGCTACCAAAAGCATCTCTCAAGAAGTTCCAACTTACCCCCGGTCCTTCACGATCGCCTCTTTTAAATGGATATATGTTTCTGGGAAAATGCCCTAAAAAGAAATACAGAAATAAATTAAATCACCCCATAGGATAAGGCATGACAAAAATGCATTTGACAGAAAGCAGGGGCAGGGGGTAAGAGCGTGATCAGCTGAACAGTAACTGGGAGCGATGTTTACTGCTTGCCTATAGCAGAAATGTGTTAGGAATCACAGGAAAAAAAAGACAGCAAGGAGCATCAGGCTGCAGGCTTGAGCGCTATATTTGATATTTTAGCACCTCAGAGAAGTCAATTCCTTGCTCCACTGCAATGACGCCCATCTTCCTATATGAAATGTTGTAAATGCTTGCAAACCATCAGTCATACTCATTTGCCCTTGCTACAAAATACTCTTGGAGACATTTGTCGAGCTGCCCTGGGCCTGTGTTTCTCTAGAAAAGCTCACAATAAATGACAGCCTTTGTAGGAATCCATCAGCCCCAAGTTTCCATTAGTCAAGAGAAACTTTCTAGGAGTGCCGCACTCCTTTTCTATTTTCTTTTCATCCCCCTTCACGCCTGAAAAACAGAGACTGTGAAGGCTGTTACCACATGAGAGGTGTGAGGGTTCCTGTGGGAAACCAGATTTCCATGCTGTTTTCAGACTGGTTTCACAAACCTCAGGGAGTCTGGCTGAGATCCACACAAGCACAATTTCTGGAATATATTCCAAGTCAAATCAAAACTCTAATCTTGCTATTACATAGGGTACTAATGCTGGACAGGTCCAAGATCATCATAATAAAGCAATAAGCTATGTATGCAGATATGCAACAGTCAGTTTTGCTGGTTCAGTGGAGGAGCACCCAGTTAACGGTTCTGAAACATTCAGCTCAAGGGCATTTATTTCTCTCGCTAAGGAAAAGGACACGGTGATCAGGAGACCTGCACAATATTACAACACGAAATCCAGCAGAGCACAGACGATTACAGCACCAGATGGGGGCTGGCAAGGTGTGAAATAAAAATCAGAGTTACAGAAAAGTGAGGTCATACCTTCTTAGCTTTATTTCGGAGCGTGTATCCTCGGTACCAGCCTGTCAAAAGGAAACAAAAACAGTTACCTCCTACTTGTCTACAGCAATTAAATGTACTTTTCCATTTTCCCTATGTTTCTACTTCATAAATCTATTGATCTTGCTCATTTGAGATCTACTGCTGGTTCCCAAGAGCAGGGCAGAAAGGTGAACTTTCCCACCATGAGCTGACACCCTCACTTCTACTCCACGTATCCCCTTTGGGTTGGACTTCCTTCAAATGAAGGCTGAAATCAGACGTTTTATTGGAAAATGAAAAAACCCCACAACCCTGACCTGCTTCCCCTGGTACAGAGATTGTTTCTCAACATTATCTTGATGAGATACAAAGCACTAACTGATCTCCAAGACTCTGTGTCACCCTCAGATGCACGTTTCTTCTCTCTTCAGCACCTGGGCTCTGACCATTGGTTTGATTTCAAGGGCAGTGAAATGCAAGCGTATGACAAAACTGCTGCATTTGCCATGAGCAGATGGGAGAACACCACGGCTGTGGCTGAGTGACTCCCACTCTTCTTCCACCACCCCCAAACTGGGTGAGACAAAGGGGTTTTCTATCCACCCTCACCACTTTTCTTGGCTGCATGCATCACCACGCACCCTTTCCTCTGGGTGCCTGGTCCTTGCCATAAGCAACAGATCTGAGACCTCCAGTCTGGAAATTACTGGAAATAACAAACTAAACATTTCAGAAGAATCTGCTCTATTTTAAATGTTGCTGTGCAGATGTAACGTCCCCTGTACATGTTTGGGATAGGATGCAGACTTGCACTTTCACACTGACTCTCAGTCACTGAAAACGCATTGCAAATGCCAAGAGTCTGCGATCCCAGCTCCTAGAGCACCCATTTCTGACTCCTCTCCTAAGGTGCTACTTGCACTGAAACCAAACAAACTCGCCCTACCTCTGTGAACACGAAGGGCATAGATTATGGTCTATAATGCATGAATGATGGTCAAAGCTATCGAGTCAGACAGCACCAGTGATCCAAGACAATTGTGTTCAGCTGACAGGGAGCAGCAGCAAGAAGGGAAAGGGATTTAAGGGAATAATCAGGCAAAGAAGAGAGGAGGGGAAAGGGTTCTTTATAACTTGCAGTTATTTAGGTTTTTTATCCCCATATATTTATATATTTAGCAAAAAATTTCCATGAAGAACCATGGATCGGAGACCCCTCATCTATAAATTAAAGCAGGGGGGACACAGGTTTTGTTGGGGTTTTTTTGGGGGGTAGAGGGAAGCGGTATTTGTTTTGTTGTGAAGCACAGTCTTTCCCCTTTCTCTAGCAATGAGAAGGTGAGCAAGCCTGCCCACGTAATCCCCAGTATTCCAGCAGCAACTCAAGAGGAAAGAAGACATTCCACTCCTTCCCCAGGATGAAGACAGGATTATACATCCACCATGGACCAATGGACTCGGTTCTGGCTTAGGGATGAGAAGATTTAGGTTCTATTTTTATCCAAGTCGTAATTAATTTGAATGCTCAAGTACAAGTTACTTAGGGTGGGATACAAAGCTCATGGAATTTAAGAGTATTTCCCCAGTGCTTTCAATTCCATTTGACGCAGTCTCGCAGCCCCTCTATGCCACAGCTTCCTCGTATTTAAAATGGCCTCTTGGCACTACCCCATTCCTGTAAAATATTTTGCAATTGTTGCATAAAACCATGCTGTCTATTATTATGCAAAACTATTTCAGCAAGCATCTCATGCCATTTTTTTCAGAATCCTGCTCCAATTTACAATTATCTTATTCATCATTTTACAAGGAACAAAAGCTTTTGGCAGCGGACGATGACTTGATTACTTTCTTATAAAAACCTGCCTAAAGCTTCAGAGGAATGATAGGGTATTTAAGTGTTTCTCTTGAGTATCTCCTCCAAGCAGAGATGTGCTAAATGGAGAAAAGCTTTCCAGCTGAAGATGACGTGGCAAATTTCAGCTACTACAACACTCTTACAAACTGAGGTCTGGTTAAGGATGCAAGGACAGCAGACTGAGTCGTGCAAAGAAATGGCATAAAGTGTTTTGTTTTGTTTTTAATGGAACGCAGGTCCTCAACCCTTACATGGATTTAATGCAGTATAAGAAAGCCTCAGAAAAATTATCCAAATTACAATAGTTTAGGCGACAAAGTTGTACAGAGATGCAACCCCAGGTCACGTGCGTAACCACAAGGTCTCTGTTCCTCTTCCGCCGCAGCGCACCACCACTGGGTACCGCAACACGCACCCCTGCCCGGTACCGGAATAAAACAAGGGATTGCTTCATTGATCTGCAGCCGTCAGAGGAGAGAGAGAGAGAGAGACTGAAACTAGGAACAAATTCAATGCAAGCTTATTTTCGTCAGGAGAAGAAACTGGTTGGGATCACGGTATGTGGGCACACATTCCTCCTAGCCACAGCTCGGCCATTTCCCACAGCTTGCAGGAAATAATAAGACTGAAGATGAGAACGGTATGTGGGCACACATTCCTCCTAGCCACAGCTCGGCCATTTCCCACAGCTTGCAGGAAATAATAAGATATATACTGCAGATGAGAAAAGATTCCCCTAAACATAAATGTATCCTCCCCAGCTCACTGCTCAAGGACAGATGAGTTGTAACTGGGACTTATAAAACATCAGGCAAAGCATGGGAAAAGCAACAAAAATGCAATGCTGGAGCTTCACCCCAAATTTGGCCAACTTTCCAAAGACTTCCAGCCTTTGCAATAGGGCTCTACCTCCTGACAGCATGTCCCAGCATCAATGAGCAGGGATTCTGCAATTTAAAGGTGCATTTTCTTATTGTGAGGCACAGAAGCCTGCACCAAACTGCATCCGTACCTTCTGCCTTGCAGTTTAATTCGCTTTATTCCTCTTTGCTTCTCACACAGCTCCTCCAGTGCTTTCTGTGGTATCAGTGTTATGTCTCAAAGCTATTCAGCCGGTTGAGAGTCAGATAACATTTACTGTTAACGCCAAAACCCAGCGCAAGCTTCAGCCTTGCTGTCAAGGAACAAACCGTGCACTTCAGTGCTTACAGACAGCGCGGAGCCGGCCAAAAACCAGAGGCAGAGCACAAAGAGCTTTCAAGTGAAGGTGGATACAGAGGGAGGAACACGGTGGGGAATGAAAACCTGCTGACTCCAACCAGGAGCAGAAAGGACGCACATCCTACATGACTGACAGAGCAAACTGTGGTGCAACAGCCCCCAAAACCTCCTGGTAACTCCCCAAAGATGCTCCTGTGCATCCTGAGGTAGGGGACAACAGCAAGAAGGAAGATTTTCCAAGTGGCTTTTACCATGACATGAGAAAACCCTGAAAAACGGCTCCTTAATTCCCTAAAGGATTTTATGACAGCCTAAGGAACACCAGGATCACTCAAAAAAGGACTTCACGAGGCATCTCCGAGCCTTTCCACTTGCAAAGCCAAGGCCCTTGTTAAATGGATCTTTTTTCTAAATTGAGGCTTGTGTATCCAGATAAGAACAGCGATGAGGGGAACAAAACCCTCACTTTTATCAGATCGGAGCTGGATTTGTAAGTTTACATCATTAGCATGAGAAGAAACAGAAAAACCCTCTTGTGAGAACACTAATTCTCAAAAGCACAACCCACAGATGTCTGGAAACAAAGCTGAAAGCTGACGTCCCAAAATAAAGAAAAATTGATACAAGACGTGAGAATTTCCTCCCAAGCAGACAGAATATCCGAATTTGGTATTTTTAAGATGAACTTTTGGGAAATAAGACCAGCCCCGTGGCAGAGTCACCATCTCAGGGACAATCTGCAACTTTTCCAGTACATCCACCAATGTCTGGCCTGAATTTTTGGCTGCTCTTCCCAGGAAAAGCTTTTATTTGCACTGCAGTCATTCCTGGGTGCCTCAGTCACAAACCAGGACGCTGCACTGATGGCTCAGCATAGGGAAACAATCAAAACACATTCAATTTCCCAAACCATTTACAACTGAATCTCTCAGGCCGAAGTTCCAAACTGGGACATTTCAGGTGAAAAAAAGGAGGCCTTTCAGGTTTTAATTTCCCATTCTTGGCTCTGTTAAACAGCTGATTGCAGACTAAGCAGGAGAATTAAATGAGGATGCTGCTTTAATAAAAGAGAAAGAAATACCCTGACATTTTGGGAAGTACAAGAAGCATCCTCTTCCTAGGGTAGTTTCATCCCTGACACTCCCTCTTCCTTGTGCCTGTTTGCAAACCCAGTTCACAAATTAGTACTAATATACACAGATTTTCCCCTATTTCTCTCTATGTCCACTCAGTGTAAAAACACACATCAGCAACAATGTGCCCCGACACGTAGGAACCGGCTGTTGCCAGTGCCAAGGTCAAAGAGAAGTGGAAAAGGAACAATTGGCCAAGAACAAATGTGCTAAATAAGCAGCTTGCTGTTCCCAGCGCTGATATTAAAGAGGTTTTGTACGCCGAGTCTTTTTCAAGCTGATGCTGCTCGTGGAAATGATTGAATTTGTATTTTGGAAAGCCTTCCAAATGAAGTAGTGACCAGGCCATTCTTTAAAATAATTAAATGGCTGTGCTCCACTCCTAATATTGAAATCTTCATTAAACAGCCTGGTTTAATAAGCAGATATGAAACACACAAGTGTGATTTTCATCTCGTTTAAAATAGGAATTTTGTTTTCCTTTTTCTAGGATATTTTACACTGAGGTATATGTATGAATCATTTTCTAGTAAAGTACTGGGAGAAACAGCCTAAAGAGGGCACGGAAGCTCCATAACTGGAGGCTCTTTAAAACATACAACACCAGTTCGTGATGTTACAGCTTAAACCAACATTGCTTCTGAAACAATTAGACCTGACCTCTCTTTTGCTTTCATCCCCTCCCTCTGTTGTCTCAGATCAAAGAGCTAACTCACGGTAAAAGCTGCTTTTAAAAATTACTATTATTATTTTCCAGCTGGATCAGTTGAACGCTTGGCCTGGCACAAGGAGGAGCCAAGGGAAGCAGAAGTGGTGGAAAACAGGAATGAACAGCCCAAAGTCAGGGTTTCTTTCTCTTCGGCGCTGCCTGGTGAAATATTTTACCTTGGCAAACCTCTGTTGGGAACTGTATTGCCACTTCTGCATTTTTAAATGGTATTAAAACACACAAATTCAAGTGCACACAGCAAACACTGCACTGCAAGCTTTGCGCTTTTGGGCGTATCAGAAGTTGAAAATTGAGACATGGAATCTGTAGGATTTTTTTTTTTAATATCTTGATTCGTTCTATTTCCTTTCAAAAAGCACTGCAGAGCACTTGAAGTGATGCTCCACCTACCTTCATACATCTCCAGGATGTGAACAGTATCGCCAACTTGCAAGGAGAGCTCCACATCTTGCACAGCATCGTAATTGTAGATTGCTAAAGAGGAGGAGAGAGAGATAAAAAACACCATCAGGAAAGCTGGGAGGGAATCAGATTCTGAAATCTGGTATCACGGTACCTGCCAAAGGCAGAATACGATTTTCTAAAAGCACTATAAGGTTACTAAGCTATCCTGTGCATATAACACACCAGAAAAGCATGTAGTATATCTATTTCCAGAGTCTATAGTCAGTTCCTGCAAGGATAAGACACTTTTAACAGCCAACAAAGTTTGCCTTTTACCCTTAAAAACAGAGATCTGTGACACTGCATCTGTGACATCTTCCCCTTTCCTGACGACCTGCCCAGCAAACGCCACTGCTACCCCAGGCAGAGGCTGTGGATCAATTGGGTAACTGTCGTTGTTATTAGTGTTTCCCAGGACTAACGGCAACGCAGCACTCCCAAGCACTGGCAAAACAACAGAAATGGGGTGCCATAATTAAAAGTGCCACTATTCTGTATTAAATGCCTCGGACTAAAGGCTTTTCCCAACCAAGAACCAGCCTTAGCATGAAAACTTGAGATTCTCTGCAAATTTAATCCCTGCCAAAGACAAAGCTAATCTGACCGCTTATGGGATTTCCAGTGGGAATAGGATTAAGTCCAGAAGTGCACGCTTTTAAATTGCCTCTTCTCTGGAACTTTCTTGAGGTGCACATTTCCACCGGGCAGAGCAGAAGAGGCTTGTCAAGATATAAAATATAGCCTGGATTTGCTTTCAAACCAATGCAAGTAGAAGAGGCATAAAGCAGTCAGGAAAATGCTTTGCTGTGGTTTAACGAATGGATTGGCTGAATCAGAACAAGACCACCCCTCGACCAAAATGAGATTACTCTATTTATTTATTTAAAACACTGCTTTAAGTTCAGATCACATCTAAAAACACCATCTTCTCACACACATAATTGCACGTTTAAGTCTCCAAATCTGTTCCCCAAGCAAATCTATTAGTGAAGTAAGCACAATGTTTATTTTTATCAAGAAGGCAAATAAATCACGCAAACATTTTCAGGGGCCTTTGGGAAAACTCTTCAGAGGGTTTGTATGTGAGAAACTCTCTCTGGAAATTAAATAAATAAGCAAAAAAAAAAAGTGAGCTCCTGTGTCAGGAAATTCGCATCGAATGCCTATCATTGCCGTCAAGATGAGGTATATATTGCCTCCTGGCAAGGACCCAGCACAAACAAATGACTGTGGCTTACCACACCGGAAATTACCTCACATACACCAGCTTTCTTGCAAATATTGTAGCTATAAATAATCCAACCGAAATAGGCAGGCGATGTGAATTCCCTGCAGTATCTGAAATAGATCCTGATATTAAAAAATATATATATATATATGCGTGTATGTGTACATACATACACACACACACACACAACAACAGATACTTATTATCTTATGCCACAAGGGCAGTGTGCGTTCACACTGGCCCTAATTCCTGCCTACCACATCTTCACTGCCTATAGAGATATAAGCTGAACATGCATTGAACCCAGTACGTTGTTTTCCAGAGGGTTACCCTGGTGAGACCACATCTGGAATATTGTGTCCAGTTCTGGGCCCCTCAGTTCAAGAAGGACAGGAACTGCTGGAGAGAGTCCAGCGTAGGGCTACAAAGATGATCAAGGGAGTGGAGCATCTCCCTTCTGAGGAGCGGCTGAGGGAGCTGGGGCTCTTCAGTTTGCAGAAGAGGAGACTGAGGGGAGACCTCATTCATGGTTATAAATATTTCAAGGGTGAGTGTCACGAGGATGGAGCCAGGCTCTTCTCAGTGACAAACAATGATAGGACAAGGGGTAACGGACACAAACTGGAACACAGGAGGTTCCACTGAAATTGGAGAAGAAACTTCTTCTCAGTGAGGGTGACAGAGCACTGGCCCAGGCTGCCCAGAGAGGCTGTGGAGTCTCCTTCTCTGCAGACATTCAAACCCCGCCTGGACGCCTTCCTGTGTAACCTCATCTGGGTGTTCCTGCTCCGGCAGGGGGATTGGACTGGATGAGCTTTGGAGGTCCCTTCCAATCCCTAACGGTCTGGGATTCTGTGTTACTGGAATTTTACTGGACTCTTGCTCCCAAGGCGCTAGCAGCTTTGACATCCCGTTTCCTCTCCCTCCACACAATGATGCTGTAAGCCAAGATATTAAAAACTGATCTGGATACTCAGTGTCAACACCTTAACGGCCTCAGAAAAGATCCAAAAGTAAAAATCCCATTGGTGTTTCTGCAGAAAAAATTTAGTAACGTTTATGACCAAACAGGAACGTACGCAGGGAGCAGATAAGAGTAATCTGGTATGAACTACCTTGTAGTGACAGATGCCGAGATCATAAATTGATGGAAGAGCTGGTTAATATTGCACTTGATTGAGTAAAACAAAACAAAACAAACCCAAATGTTCTGCCAGATATACAAAACAATTCTGCACGAGTTTGCAGAGGTCAGCGTAAAAGCGCAGCGCCCAGCCCAAAGCCAACTCCCGCGGCCGTGCCTTTGGCTGCGGTGAACCTGCCAAATCGCTCACGGCAAGCAGGGCTGGTGCAAGCCATTACTTGGATGGGACCTCTCTGAATTTCCCCAAGGTGCTGCAGGAAGTGGTGTGAATGGATAAAACAACCCCAGCTCCCCTTGTTGTCACTGCTGGCCCATGGTGTGCCACAGGGACACGGGAGGTGCCATTGCTCAGGTGGAGTCTGGCATCACGCAGCCTATGGGCATTAACAATCCTACAGCCCTGGCAACATGCTTACAAGATTTAAATCACAGTGTCAGCCAATTTCTGACTTGGCTGATTACCCTCCATCTACTGAAGTTTCCTCCTGTGGTTACAGCTGGACCGCCTTATTTTTTGTCCTAAAACGCTGTTTGGGATTCCCGTTGCATGGCTGTGCTCACTTGAAATAGCGGCTGTTTAGAAATGCATGTGTACAGGGATTCCTACATACAACATCTACGTGCCCTGGGTTTCTTCAGGGCAAACAGACTTTGTGTAAATACCAGGCTGTATTTTTCCATAAAACACTGCTTTAGCTTCAGACAAAAGCAGTCAGAGCAGCATGAAGTGCCTAAGAGAAAGGTGGGCGGCATGAGCCAAGCCTTTCTTCTGAGAGCACAGACAGCGAAATCGAAACCAAGAGCACAAGAGCCCCAAAAAGAGGGAGAACTAAACCCCGCCGTCTCCTTACCCTCACCAAACACCACCACGGCCACAAGACAGAACTAAACTCTGCATTTCCCTTTCCCTGCTCTACCAGAAAGGTTTCAGATCCCAAATGTGCAGCACTTACAACGTAGAAGAACACACGTCTGCCACTGCACACCACAAAAAAGCAAGATCTGTAGTATCTTTTTTTTTTTGCTCGACTGAATTAAGCAAGAACAGAGCAGCACTGTATATAAAATCTCCTACCCAATGGGTGTGCACAAGGTTATAAAAGACAAATTGCTGGCATATTTTCCCTGGGAGCTTTACTGTTTGCAACTGATGCTTCCTGCTGCTTGGAGTCAGCCCTGTCCGAAATAGCCCATCTGCAGCTATTTGAACTGCTCGGCCTCCTCTGCCTTGTGTGTTTTTAATCTGACCTCTTTCAGACTTGAAAGAAAAAAGGAAGCTGCACATAACAAACATGGTCGTGGCATGAAAAAATAAAAATCCTTCACATTAAATCCTGACAGAGCAGCAAGAAAGGAAGAAGAAAGATAAAAACACAGAGGCTTTTGTCCACCAATCTGCAGGAACATCTGCAGTTAAGTCTTTTCACTTCATGTTAAACTTCAGCTGAGATTTTGTCCTTTGAAATTCACTGCAGAACAGTGATTCTGTTCCTTTTCCCAGCCTGAATGAAAAGCAGCACTGAAGTCTAGCAAATTTAACCTAAATAAAGCAGCAGAGGTGGAAAACAGGATCCCTAAGAAGGAGATACTGCGTTCGTTTTAATGATGATGTCCTTTGAGTGTAATTAGATGCAATGCATCATGTTATTTCATTTACAGTCCCCCAGTTTGATTAGAGGAAAGGTTAAGAAGTGCTTTTCTCAGCAGTGCATCCAGTCTATGGAATGCATAAGGAAAAGGTCAGGGAAGCCAGCGTTGGGGCTGGATTGAAAAGGGCAACAGATAACTTTATGGCTGATGACAGCAGCCAGAGTCATGCAGGTGAAGATAAGGAGAAGCAGTTTTCATGCTTCAGGCCAGAAGGTGATCCCTCAGAAGGGATTGGGAAGGAACTGCAAAGGCATTGCACAACTGGGTGATGTAGAGGTACATGGCTTTATTTGGGAGCATCACGCAAGAGTCATCACCAGCCCACATGAGCGGCACAGGAAGATGAGATGGCCTGGGCTTTCCAGGGTTGTCACGGCTCTGATTAACAGCAAACGGGGAGCTGGGAGCTTCTGGAAAGGGTTTGATGTGGGATGGCACACCATAGTGTTACGATGGGAAGAGCAAGTTTAGCTACGTCACTCCCTCTGGTCAGATGAAGACACCAGATCTGGTCTGTAAAACAGTGGCACTTAACACTGTGAGAAGCTCCAATGTGGTGCATGGGGCAGAAAATCAGAAGAAACACAATTCTATTATAAAAACAAACAAAACCCTCAAAGAAACCAAAACACACTTTGAAAACCCACAAAGCTCCACTCTGTCCACACTTCAAAGAGCCAGAACACACCTGGACAAGCAATCTCCTGCCCTAACACAGCACCACCAACGCGTGTTACAAAGGTGGTATTCCTTCCCTTCTGCATTAGGAGAAACTGAGGACAGAGAAACTAAATGTCACACTGCTAATCTACAGCATATTCAGAGATGAAAACCAAATACTAATTCCTACAGGCATTTTAATTGCAAGACTGTAACTCACTTTCAAGACTGTTCTAAAAGCAAAAAGAAGTTAAGATGTTCGAAACTCGCGTGAATGAAGCAGAAACGGTCACGTAGTATTTTGTGTGTAATTCAAAGCGGAATGAAACCGGATCCTTTCGTCGACCT